TAAGCACAAAGGTACTGATTAAATTACACATATATTTTATTTTTCTGAAAAAAAAAATTACAGGAAGAAAAACGAAAAATCTGTCTTATGTAGAATCCAGCGTTTTAGGTATAAAAGTAGATTTTAAAAAAATCGAGTGACCTTTGTAAACTAAAAGTATATGAATTATTCGTCTCTCGTAATACATGATAGTTTAGAGAAAAATGAATGTAAAATAAATGTATGACACTTCCATCACTTTCATTACCCAGCCCCAATCCTGAAGTAATTGAATAGTCTCGCTCTACAAGATTACCGACATGTAGGCTATATAGTGTAACTGAAAATGTGCGAAAACAAAATGCACCACCCATGCACTGATGCCGAAATATTAGGAAATTGATAAATACACCTAGAAGTGAGGGTTATATGTAATTACATGAAATACTGAAATATACATGTGGCACGTGTATGGATATATAACTCCAGTAATAGTCATACAGCCCCTTCCATGGTGAGATTGTGAAGGTTGGATTGAAGATTTGGGGAATTTTAAATAACAAGTATTGAACCTGGACAGATTGATGTAAGAACTATGTGCACTGTAAAATAGATAAAAGTATGAGCGAAAATAAATATCTCCGCAGTGCTTCCATTGTATCTTCGTCGGATATACAAATATATATATATATATATATATATATATATATATATATATATATATATATATATATATATATATATATATTATGAAGATATGATTGGAACCGGCCAAGTACACCACATGCACTGTGAAGATACTTTAATTCATACCTTTTTTAGGATGATGTAATTGCGACTCGCGTATTTCATGAGATTTAACGAGTATTAGCAAGTGCATTAATCTATAGTGTTGAAATGTTTTTCATTATCAGCTACTTTGTTTTATTATCCTATGCTAAGGTCATATGTGTTAAAAAAGGAAATCTTCCCAAATACCCGAAAATCATCTTAGCTCAGTAGTTCTCAAACCAAAGTGTCATGGGGTAATAAATCGAATTTCCGATCTAATTTTTTTTCATATGACATGTAAGCTGTGTTTATTTAGTTTACTTTCGAGCTCCAGTAACTCATAGAACAGTTGAAAATAGGAGTTTGAGGGTCCATCCGTGAGAAAAGTTTAGAACTCACTGCCTTAACCTACTTTATTCAAAATTTATTCAAAGATATATGTCAGTCTAAGTCTTCTGAGGAAATAAAGGTAGATGGAAAAGTATAATGCCTCGTATACATTACTGTCTATTATCCGTGTTATTCATATATACAAGGTCATGACTATGGGATAATTTCTTCTGCCTGGAGCTGAGGAGGCTTCTCTCCCATGTTCCAGTATTTTCTCATCTGCTTACTCTGTTTCTGACCCTCGTGTCTCAATCCTCTTAAAGTTAAGTATTTTGCCTTGTATTATTTATGCCTTCCTCCTCCCTCTCCAGGTGTCTGTTGGATCTATGTTCCTTGTGAACTTTTCCCTCTCCTTCCCCTCTATCTCTCACATTTTTTTTTCTGCAGGCAAGAGGTGGATGGGCAAAGTGTGGCTGCCCAGTGGTTCCCCTTGCTTATCCACTTCATCTTTACTTAAAATGCAGCTTTCGTTGGGATACTTCTGTTTCCCTTTGATGAGATGAGCACAATTGGGAGGGCTGCCGATATCATCCACTTGGCTCATAGGGAATGTAATATTGCTGTCTTATGATATCCAGCTGTAAAACCTCCATAGCTATGATAAGTGGTCTTGATCTCTCTCATAAGGGAACTTTCCATAGAGGGAGTAGGATCCACATCTTCCCAGATAACTGGATAACGACGCTCCTCATGCCTTCTTCCTTCCTTGACTTGATGAGCCACCTGAAGGTAACTCAACTGGTTAGAAAGAAGAATATATCCACCTGTCACCAGTGGATTGGGCTTTGGACCTGGCTCTGTCTATGGACCTGCCTTCATAGTTCAGCCATTTGCAAATGGACAGGTGGGAGAACATTTACCTGTTCCTTTCCATCTGATAGCCATCATGTTGCAGGTGATATGGTTGCTGAGGTTCTTCCAAGGAAAGTGCACTTTTCAAGTACTCCCTAGTGAAAGTCCCATCCATGGCTCCATGACTTGCTCCAGTGGTGTCCTCATCCACTGAGATGGTATGGCAAGAGGTCCATATTATGTTATGCGTAGATCTTCTGCTGCCATACCAGTGATAGTGGTGCATAACATCATCAGTAACTACATTAATTTTATGAGGTGGCAGTATTATTCAGCAGTCTACATCTGGACGTTCTGATGGACCTCTGACTTTGATCTAGGTCTTTCATCTGGCTGTACGCATATACTCACCATCTTTAACCTTGTTTGGTCCAGTCAGTACCTCAGTCTTTAAGGGTTTTGCATTTGTCACAACATGGCACTGCTGGTCACACTTTCCCACACTCAGAAAACATATTGCTGTCAGTTTGACATCCTTGCTTAAATGGATACACAGAAGTAGGAAGTGCACAACTAAATCTGGAATACCTATGAGTGGTTAGAATATTTCATTTTCTCTTCGAAATTGTGAGTGATAACAATGAGGCTGAACTAAACTGCCCAACTGAAGTAAAGGGCTGGATCAGGATACAGCTGCAGGATATCATCACAAGGATTATCTGCAGGTGGACAAAACTATGAAGCATTGGTTCTATATGGACCAATTATTTAAATCTCTCTGGAGGTTGGTTTGTGAATTGTTAAGGGTTTATATATACACTACAGAAGGGAGAGTAATGTATCTATCTGATATGCTAGATATTAAAGGTATGGTAAATTATTGTGGCAAAAAGGGTAAAGTTATTAGTTGAGGCAAGGGCTGAAGTCCAAGGCAGGGGCACTCCTCCCAGTCCCTGTCTCCTGTGGAGGTTGGGAGCCTATATGTGGACAAGAAAAAAAGGATAAAAAAGGTTTTAGAGTAGATAGTACTTGGGCTTGAGAATCAGATGTAAGTGTAACAAGACATGAGCAATTGGGGTGACTGCAGAAGGAAACTTTGCCTACTTGCTTTTAGAGATATTGTTGAAAGAGGAGGGTGTTATTGGAATAAGGGGCTGTTGGGGGAATCACAAAAAATGGTCCCACTTAGCTAGGCTAAATAGAGTACTCAAAAGATTTGTAGAAGTGGGAACTGTAGAGGGGTGAGGACGGGAAAAGGAGCGAGTGAGACAGTACTGTAGGGGTGAGGCAATAAGGTTGAAGAGTTTTAAAAAGGGAGGAAGTGGATTAGGATTAGAGGATATTGGGAATGAGGAAAGTTGAGTAGATGATACCTGGGTAGATGATTCGGGTTTGGTTAGGATGAAAGTACATGTCAAGGAAGGGGGTGTAGTAACAGTGTTTGGAGCCGTGATCAAAGGAGAGTCAGAGGTCAGTAAACCAAAGGAGTTAGATTCAGAGAGGCTAGTTGATATAGGGGGAAGTCTCAATGCCCCTAATAAGGGTACAAAATCTTTATTTCTGGCCATGGTAAGCTTGAAATATGTGGGGAAGATAAAAAGTCCATCACACAGGGTACTCTTGAGGGATAAGGGATAAACAATTAACCAAGGGAATACCCTGCCCATGACTCTCGTTCATGACTGGCACAAATTCTTTCTTTCATCCTTTCAAAATAGCTCCCTCACCTTAGGAACTGGACAGGGGAATGGTTGGAAAAATAAAGAGAAGAAAATTGGAAGAAAAAAGCAGTGCAAATGTTTTTATTAAAAAATCAAGACATAGAGCAATGAAAGGCATTAATATACATCTTATTATGTGTCATAAAAAGATAAAGTAGCTCATATGATAACTACACTTGTGTTCAGAAAACAATTTTATTTACCTACAGATGTTCATGGTTTTCATGTATTAGATTAGAACATCTATGCATAATCTGTAAATGAATGCACTGTAAGAGGAACATGAAGTAATGATAAAACTTATGAAGTCATATATTATATTTCAAATACTTATTGTACATTTTTTTTCACAAATAATCCATAATCATAAAATTATACATAGAATTAAATCAGTAGCCTATATTATCACAATTGAAAACATCCTTTATTTATGTCTTTTTTATTACTTTTCTAGACAATATTTCCATAATGACCAAACTCTTTCCATTCTAACAGCCTGGCAGAAATACATTTATATGCTGCCTCATACTGTTCATGCTGTTTAACCCAAATCCAATGGGCATGGCATGCACATTCTTGCCATGCTCACTGTGAGTATAATTTAATAATTGTTTTTACACACAGATGGCTACACTTGTACCAGTCACTAATGAACTAATTACAAGTATTAAAATAACACCATCAATATTCATAACATTACTAAAAGAAAGTATTTTTCCTGCCAACTCAAGGAAAGGTGAAATCAGGTAAGGTTACAAGGTCTGTTAATTGTCTCCTTTGTGGCTATGCACTAGCAGAGACATTTCCAAAAAAAAAAATTATTAAAATGAGCACAGCATTTTCCCAACGACACTGAGTTAAACAATATATCATAAATATATCTTAACCCATTGTCAGTGGGTTTATGTGCTGTCCCCTTTAGATTTTAGAGAGTTTTGTTACATACAGATGACTCCACGTGTGCTCAGCCAGCAAGGAGTCTATCAGTTGGCCCTTGTAACCGATCCTGATTTCCCCATTCCCAATACTATTTACATTGAGATTGTTCTCATTCTCATGATATTATGATTATTAAATTGTTATTAAAATATTAATAACATCAAAGACAATAAAATAATAAAAATAAAGCTTTTAAAAAATAAGGGAAAGGGTAAACAGATGAAATAGGCAAGACTAATAGCCGACTCCTCAGTGACAAAGCACTTGTAGAGCCACATATGTGTAAAGACAATTGATAAACTTTTATTACAATGGCCATGGTATTGTAGTCTTGCCAACCATGCTAATTGGGTTAAATTGCAAATGATTGATTCCTTAATGAGTTTTAATAGTAGTTGTGTGTGTGTGTGTGTGTGTGTGTGTGTGTGTGTGTGTGTGTGTGTGTGTGTGTGTGTGTGTGTGTGTGTGTGTGTGTGTGTGTGTGTGTGTGTGTGTGTGTGTGTGTGTACATACATATATATCAAGAATACTGCTTTACAATTTCTGTACATATCTTTTAACCAAATGCCGCCAGGTGGCATGCATGTATATGCCATGGCATGCCTGGACTATGTTCTGGGTGCATGTATGGTAGTGCCACACGCTATGATGATGACATGATCCCTGGCAGTCACCCTGAAACCACCCTGCGCCACTGGGTTAATCTAAAAAAGCTTATTGTTTTTATGACATGATATTTTAGCTGTTAGGTGTGTTGATATTTTAGTTCTCTAGGTGTTAGGTGTCTTGATATTGAAACAAGACTGAAGTTGTAAATGTATTCAAAATAGGCAAGTTATATCTACATTATAGTGATCTATAAGGAAATCACTTAGTACAGACTGTAATTACTAAAATTTCCATTTAGTTGTTTTTTTCTATATTTATATTTCACCATGAACTACTACAATTATTTTGTTAATACATAGGTTACACTTTATTCTTAAATGACATTATTCTTAAAATGATGATTGTTTGGTGATACAAGAGAAAAATATTTATTCTAATTAAAAGACCTGACCTGTTTCTACAAAGTAAAATAAATATACAGTGTATAATGTTCTAAATATATTATTTATGAATAAACACAACAAAAAATCAATTTAGGGTGCAAATATCAACAAATACAAATTGGTTACTGCATATTACTATACATGGGAAAGTTTTATCATATCCTTTATTCAGAATATGAACAAATTGAATAGAATTTTTTTTATATCACCTTCAACTGGTGTAGTTCCTTTGTTAACTTAAATTTCTAAATACATTAGTCATATATTTCATAAATCTATTTTCATGTTCCAAATTCATTAGTCATTTATTTCTTGAAATTACATTAACCCAATGCCGCTGGGGAAAATGAACAAAAAATGGGGAAAATGCTGTGCCTATTTTCTACATTTTTTGTGAAATGTCTGCCCATAGATGGCTCTGCTAGTGCCTGATTTGAAATGGCGGGAATCACGTATTTTTCACTAGTGCTATGAATGTCGATGGTGTTATTTTTATCATAAACATTATAATTATTATAATGTTTTTTTACATTAGTGACAGCAAAATAAGATAATGTAAAATATTTCGTAAATCAAAGAAAAGGGTAAACGGGCAGGACGGGCAGTACTCGTAACTGGCTCATTGGGGAGTTAGTACAAGTGTTGCCATCTATGTGAAAAAAAAAAAAAACAATCAAACAAGTAACTCACAATGGGCATAGCACACGTACACGTCATACCCGTCGGCATTGGGTTAAATTACATAAACCTATATCCAAGAAGTCAAACAACTGGTGTAAATTCTTACTAGAAAATCTATGTAGTCTTGACTGATCACTCTATTACAGAGTAAGAAGAAAAAGGTGCATTAATCTACTCATATTCTATCCATTTTACTTGGAAAAACATTTCAGTAAGATTTACATTCCTGTTCAGGTAAGCATTGCTTGCCTTCTGCCAGTCCCTGTGTCAGTGATTCAGTATATTAAAATGTTAAAACAAAAATCATTTCACAAAATATTTGTGCTTCAAATTTATGAGTATAATCCTAGCAACTATAAGAATATGTTTCCTTGGGAAATTTAGAATGTGTGAACAAACATTCAGCTTTGCAAGTTTGATGATTACTCAATAGGTCTGTAGATGAGAGTGGTTACACACTTCTTGCGGAAACGAATTGACGTTGAAAGAACCATCATGCCGTCACGGATGCTCAGAGCATACATGTGGTTGAGCATTACATGGTTAGGTTCAGGAAGTAGTGTTGGTTCACACTGTTGGGGAAAATTATATTAAATGTACATATGTATTACTGAAACCAAAATTTGCAATACAATACCTGAAAAATCATTTCAGAATAGATACATGAATGCATATCTCTCTCTAATCTATTAAACTTACCGAGATTGGTGTATCCTTGTTGAGTATGACCTGCAGAAGGTGTGGGGGTAAGACAGGGGGTCCTCGAACCTTCTCCCACTGGTGGTACTCAGGGATTTCCTGACTGTATTCATCCTTCTTTTCTACTGCAACAGAAATATTCAGTTCAAGAAGAAGCAAAAAATCTTTTGTATTTCTGAAATTTCCAGAATATATATCACAAATGACTAATAATCTGGTTAAAGCCTTCAAGCATTTTAAAAGTTTATCTGGATTTTTCTTTTATTTTTTGTACTTTTAACTTTTTTTATTACTTTTGCTTATTCAGACCTGGCTCCAAAAGTACTTATAATGCACCCTATCCTTTGGTGAAAAAAATATGGCAATTCATCGCAATCTCTGTTTGGGCAAGCCTTTCTTTTATTCTAGCAAATAGGAGGCTACCAAACTAAAGTTTGAGCTGCTCTTTTTTCTTCCCTGAGACTGGAATAATTATAACATAAAGCAGTCAATTACTAGCCTAGCCTGATCTCACCTGTTTACACCCTTACTTCAATTTTTCCCAACATCAGGTGAGATCAGGATGGCCTGGTAATTGACTCATTTGATACTATGTGCTTGTGAAAGCTATCTCTGTGTAAACAAAATTCATAACAACCGCTTCACGCCTATGCAAACCCCTGGAGGAAACCAGGTGAGAAGTAAGCAAGGATGATCCAGGATGGTCAGTCTGCATCCTCCCCATGACATATTCCTTCCTCCCTTCACCTGTAGAAGCTGAGCTTGATTCCAGTATGCATGTTACCACACCAAGACCTTTATAAACAAAGTATCTGCTTAACTTCTTTACTGTCAGGAACAGACATGTAGTTTATGATGATCTTGGTATGGTAGAATTGAGCAACATAGTAGGTTATAAACATAAAATGCCAGCCATTCCACCCCAAGCTATATCAAGCTCAACAATGGCTCCATGTTGGTTTCCAAAACCAGTGCCCCAGTGGAAACCAAGATGCCTCCAGAGGTCAAACCTTTAAGAATAGGTTTGGTCCCTTTGGGGGCTAGCCGTCTACTCAAGAACTGTTCCCTGTTTATTGTAATGTGTGTTCATTTACTTGTGTTGTACTCTGTAAACAATAAAGAGTCAAGTACTATTCACTGTCCAACCAACCCTTAGTAATAAGGAACTCATAGCCTTTTACAGTGTGTGTGTGTATGTGTGAGGGGGGGGGGTGGGGTGAATGCGTGCATGTGCCTGTGTGAAGCCTCATCCACACAATCAAGCACAAATGGAGATGCTAGTTTATGCAAGGTAATCATTGGTCTCTTCATATTTTCCCAATGGATAGGCCACTAATGGCCAGTAATCCACCTAATATAGACACCATACTAACAAATGACAGAATATTATTTTTTTTTGATGAGTTTAATTACTATTTCTTCTAGTGTAGATGTCTACATGTTTCTAAATATTTTTTTTTCATTATTTTATTTAAAGAACTTTACATTTCAAAGTGATAGAAGATTGCATATATCTGATAAAATATATGATCACTGATAATCATGTTACATATGAGCTTTAATAATAATTTTTTTTTAACTCATCATACATATGGATCCTCTAAAATATGATGGAAGTTTGTAAATTTTCAAATATCTAACAAGCATTAATTTAGCAAACACCAATATATTGCTGATATGCTTAATTTGGAAGACAGAAACATGTTCTTGTGCACACACATCCACATGTATACATATATGAGTGAGCATGTGAATGTGTGCTACACATATTACAATAACTTCTGCCTAAATTACTATCTGACCAATTTCTTAACCCAATGTCACCGGGGAAATTGAATAAAAAAAAGAGGAAAATGCTGTGCTCATTTTGTATATTTTTGTGAAATGTCTCTGCCCATAGATGGCTCTGCTAGTGCTTAGCCACAAGGGAGACAATTAGTAGGCTAGACCTTGTGACCTTACCTGATTTCACCTTTCCTTGAATTGGCGGGAAAAACACATCTTTTACTAATGCTATGAGTATTGGTGTTATTTTTATTATAAATATTATAATTACTCTAATGTTATAAACATTAGTAACAGCAAAATAAGATAGCATAAAATATTTTCGTAAATATAGGAAAAGGGTGAACAGGCAAGACAGGCAGTACTGGTAATTGGCTTATTGGTGATTTAATATAAGTGCTGCCATCTATGTGTAAAAACAATTAAACAATTAAACTCACAGTGGGCATGGCATGTACGTACATGCCATGCCTGTCGGCACTGAGTTAATGTGCAATGAGTAATACTATGTAAAACTACATTATGTAAGCAATCAGACAATAACTTTTGCATCAAGTAAAAAAAAAAATTATAATTAATAACTGCATAAAAAATGTATAGATCTATTCAACAGCCAAACTAAAATCCTGCTGTTAACCTATTTTTATACTGATCATGTACCTTCTAATGCTCACATTTTTCTGTAGTCAATGTCATTAATAACTATGTTATACAAATCAATATGGCACTTACCTTCCCCCTTTTCTTTGTTCAGAGCCTGAACACCATAAGTTTTGTCATTCTTATCATTTGGATCTCGGAGAAGTGCATTTTCAAATTCTTCAAAATCACTCTCCTTGATAGTGATAACATTGTTCAGTGAGCCAATGTTATTATCACAAGCAGTCTCATTTTCGTTGTACTTCCATTCACCATCAACAAGAAATTTATATTCATGATGTCCTTCAGGCAGGTCCACAATGGCAACAAAGTCTTTTTCACTGGAAAAGTATAATATATTAATATATTAGACATTATACCCCATTGGTGATGTTATCATATCATAGTAAACAGTAACAGATGGCAAGTGACACCTGTCCTGATTGTGCCAGGACGTATGCTCATATTCAGAGACACTTAGGACACCTTTTTACGGAAAGCTGGAATGGCATCTCACGCCCATCAGCCAAACACCTCAAGCTGTTTAATGCC